CGCAGGCGCGAGATGGAGGAGGCCGCGCGCGAGGGGGCCGCTCGGCGGAAGACGGGGAAAACGCGCCGCGCATCAAGCTGAAGGCGAGGCAGCTACCGACGGAGGCGAAGGAGGAGCTGGAGTCAGACGATGAGGTGCTGAGGTGCATTGGCCACGCAGCGGTGGGGCGCGAGCACCTGGACTTGGCTCGCCGGGTGCAGGGTCGCCGCGCGGGATCCAGCAAAGTAGCCGCGGCCCAGCCGGGGCAGAGGGGGCGGGCGCCGCCCCCGATGCCGGGCCCTTTATGGGGGGCCAGGGGCGCAGTCAGCCAGGCGCGCCCCGCGCCTGTGTCCGAAGACGAGCGCGAGGAGGGTGCGCTCTCCTCCGAGGCGAAGAGCAGGAGCCCGACGGAGGCAGAGGAGAGCACGAGGGCCGGGGGCCCCTTCCCATCGCACATGCTAGGACTATGGGAGAGGAGGCAGCCAGGGCCGCAGTTCTGCGGCAGCGCGCTCGCGGGCTTGCACGGGAGGCGAACAGAGCCCAGGATGGGCGGAATTTCAAGGCTCGGCGCCAGCTAGATGCTTGTTTGGGGCCAAGGGTTTCGGGGCGCACCGAGAGCGGCGACGTCGAATCGGGCTCGCGGGAGGGCGGGGGCCATGGCAGCATCGACCCGCGGGCGGCCTCCCGCACTTGGGGGCGACGAGGAACTCGGGGAGCGCCTGCGCGACGTCGCCCAGCATCTCGTCGCATTTGCAGGCGCCCGCGAGGAGGAGAGAGGAGAGGAGAGGGCGGGCAGAGTGGCTCCCTGGAGCAAGAGGAGGCGCAGGCGCAGCTGGACATGCTAGTGGAGATCTGGAATCACTTGGGCCAGCGGGCTGGCTGGCTCGACTGGGCGACGGCAGCGTTGCTTCCCGCCGAGGGGGTTGAGGAGCGGAGGGCAGGCGTCAACCTCAGAAGTGGAAGGGAGGCAAGGGCGTCGAGCTGGCGGCGCGCCGGCCACCTCACCTGCCAGGGCCAGAGGCGGCGCCGGAACGGGCGAAGCCCGACGACCTGATCCCGACGGGCTTGAGGGCGCGCGAGGACGTTCCAAGCTTGGGCCCATCGTGGAGAAGCTGGCGCGCTCCACCATCAAGTCGCACAGCCTGGGCCAGCGCTGGTGGCCCCTCTTATGCAGGGCGCGCGGAACCAGCTCAGCCCGCCGAAGGAAGTCGCCCAGGTCGCACGGAGGGGCCAGGGCGAGCTGCTGCTGGAGTTCGCCGCGCACTTGTCCAGGCGCAGATGCACGAAGGCCCGCGCCATCAAGCAGTGCCTCGTTGCGGTCCGGGCCCGGCGCTTGGCCCTCGGCGCGGGCGATTTGGCCGCTGGCGCAGGGGGGCCGTGGATGGCGATCGACGGGCTCAGGCGGCGGGGCGGCGCCCCCAAGAGGAGGCCGGCCACGCCGAAGATGGCGCGGTGGATCGGAGAGAAGCTGCAGTCCGAGAGGTCGCGCGAAGGGGGAGCTCTCTGGGCGGCAGTCTCCACTGGCTATTTCTGTCTCCTGAGGGCCAGCGAGTGCGCGTCCTGCGACTGCAGTGACTACGCGCGCAAGTTGGCTCGAGGCAGACGAGGTGGCAGTCGGGATGCGAGCCAGCAAGATAGGCCAGTTCAGTCGAAGGGGGCGGCGCAACCACGTCGAGGCCGAGGCGAAGGAAGGCGAGGAGGCAGAGGGTCGCCCGCGCTCTGGCCATCTACGATGGCTGGGCGAGGGGGGGTCCGGCGCGCGGTTGCGCGACCCCGCGTTCGCCTTCTGCAGCTAGAAGCTCGTCGCGCGCGCGGGCGCCCGGAGGGCGGCGGCGACGCCTGCGGCCGTGGCGGAGGGGGTAAAGGCGGGCGACCTCGGCTCGCGCGGCCCGGGGATTGGCGGCGCGCCCGCCCTGGGCGCATCGTTCGAGGACGCAGCGCGCGCGCCGAGGCGGGGCCGCTGGAACAGCGACGCGTTCCAGGGCTACCTCTGGGGCGCGAGGGGCGCGGCGCAGGGCGCGGCCAGCAGCGCGGCGGCCGCGGGCCCGATTGCGGCGCGAGGAAGAGGCGCAGCGGGCGGCCGCAGAGGAGCCTGTGAGGCTCGGGCGCAGGGGCAACCCACATGGCTGCATTGTCCAGGGGCAGCACCGCGGGGGGTCCTCGAGGTTGGCGGAGGCCGCGCCCGGCCCGAGGCCGGTGGCGGCGGCGCGAGCGGGCGCGCGGGCAGCGCCGCTGCTGGAGTTTCCAGGGCGGCGGGATACTGGCGAGTCGTTTGAAGGCGCCGACCACGGGAGACGTCTTTGTCGCCAATATGTTGGTGAAGCATTTGCGCGCCGCGGCTTCTAGGGGACTTGCCACCTGGAAGCTGGGCCCAGGGGACATGGTTTTTTTTTTCTCTTGTTTTCCGACGCTGGAGGCGCGGCGGCGTTCGATCGCATGACTGATGATCAGGGTATGCCCCGGGGCCCGACGCAAGGGGCGTGGATGGTGCTTGCTGCAGACAGGAGTGTGCTCGACAACCGGTCGGTCAAGGCATCGATCTGGGGTTGGCTGAGCTCCAAATTGCGCCGCGAGGCGCCGTCCACCCTAGCGGGTGAAGCCCGGGCCTTGTCGGCAGCAGTAGCAGAAGTGGAGCGTTTACAACGAGTATTGTATCGGGACATCATTTGCCAGGATATTGACCTCCAGGACTATCCCCGGGGTTCGGGACCATGTGCTACGGTTCTCCGTCGGGGCAAGTCCACGTCGTGGACGCGAAATCCATGACTATGCGACGCCATGCTCCAGGAGGGGGGCGCTGGGACCCGGGGCCACAGAACGGCCATCGACCTGGCCATCATCAGCGAGGCCCTGGAAAAAAGGCCAAGGGAAGAGTCTTGTGGATCCCGCGCAGTCGCATTCCCGTGGATGCGTTGACCAAGGGCGACGCGTCGAAGCGCAACGCCGCACTGTTCGATCTGATGGTCAGCGGGCGCCTGGTTTTGATAGATGAGTCTGGGGAGGTCGAGCGACGGCGACAGCAGCCCGGGCTCAAGGGCAGAACCCTGGCAGCTTCTAGAAGGGAGCTGAACAGTATGGTCACTTGGGAAGAGTTCCAGATCCAGATCGTCGGAGACTCTGGTGGTGGTGGTGGTGGTGGTGGTTCCTCCCTTTTTCTCTCCATCATCTCTCCCTACCTGTGCGTCCTTTCCTTTTCAGTAGAGTGCATGTTTTTCTCTGTATCCTGTCTTCTCAGGGGAGGTCAGTCATCATAGGAGTGACTGACTGCCGACGGCCACCGAGGCCGACGGCCGGGCTGCTAAACCTGAGAGAAGGTTCTACCAGTGAAGCTGGTGAGCAGATTTCGTGAACAGGTTTAGCGTTTGGGATCATTGCTTATTTTGATTCGTGATTCGCCCACGCTGGCTCAAGGGAAAAACGTTTCGTGACCCTGCTGCTGCCGCAGAGGGGGCTCGGCGGCCATCTTCGCGCGTTTGCCGCTTCGCGGTCGTCGCGCCCTGTGTCTCCCGAGGGGGCTATCGCCCCAGCGCGAAGGCGGAAGGCCTTGTAAGGGGCGGACGAGCTCGCGCCCGCGCGCGGGCGCCCAGTGGCATGCGAGGAAAAAACTTCTCATCATTGGTATCAGCATCGAGAGTGGGGGGAGCGGCCTGATCGGTAAGGCCATAGTCACGAATGAGCCATTCGGGCAAGACCGCGCGCCGCGATCCGCTCGAGGTGAGGGTGGACGAGCTGGAAGAGCAACACAGGCGGCGAGTGGGGACCGACTGCAGAAATTCAATTGGCGTTGTCGAGTGGCCGACGCGTCGCTCCCAGACTTCGCTTCCGGTCCGGCACGCCCCGTGCCGCAGTCAGAGGGTTCTCGGCGGAGTGCGCGGCCCCCGCGGCAGCCGGTGCGGCGGCCAAAGCGACCCAGAATCAAGGATGCGCGAACAGTTGCACGGATGGAGGGCGGACCGTTATCAAAATGGGGTTATTTCCGTGTCGTTTCGCGCATTTGTCTGTGCAGCCCAAACAGCCACGCGGATTGAGGGCGAGCCGTTTTGGGTGAGCCGCTTTCCTGGAGCCGCGTGCTTTCGTTTTGAACAACAGGCAGCTACAGGCATGAATGGCGGCTCGTTTTTCGATATATGATTCTCGCGTTCAGCTTGAGTTTTCGATGGGGTCTACTGCCAGATATCGTGTAACATATACACCGATAGTGAGCGACTCGATTTTCAAAACGGAGCCTTCGTCGGACATGGTTTTGACGTCCATGTTTGTTGTTCGAATGATGGAGGCAGCTTCTTTCAACAACCTTGCGATTGGATTGCGGTCTCATGGGGCGGTCGTCTTTTCAGCGGTAGCGCGCTTCGCGCAGTGAAGCAACATGTTCGCAATGCCCAAATACTAAGGAATTTCAATCGGGAAGAAATGCGTCAGCAATTCTCACGCGTTTCGAGTTTACTCAGGTCCTCCTCCCCCTACCTCCCCCCATCCCACCCGCCTTCCGCCGGGATGTGCATCCTGGCGGCCCACCGAGGCATGTGGTCGAAAGCGAGCTATCTAGGCCGTTCGCTGATATCGTCGGGCTCTGCTCCCTGTTCTTAACCCATGACCCCCATGGCCACTCATGCTTATAATTCCCAGAAGTTCCCTTGCCTCTTCGCGAATTGGCCTGACCATGGTCTCATCGTGTTGCTTTTCAGCGACGGGAGTATCTTGACAGCATCGAGGGAGGGACGTGGCCTGAGCAGCGTAGCAAGGCTGAGCAGTTTCGCCGTTCGTAGTTTCGGTTTCTACCATTATGTTAGATTGCTCGAGCCTCGGACCTATCCGGATTCTGGAACGCTTTGCGTAACCCTACCAGCCCATCAAGAATCGATGCCCAGGCCAGTTGCCCCGGTCAGCGATTTGGAGGAGGAGGAGGAGGAGGAGGAGGAGGAGGAGGAGGAGGAGGGGGGCGGGGAGGAGGGAGTGGAATTCCCCTCTCGCCTCCTCCTCCCCCCGCCCCCCTGCTGCCCATGGCAAGCGCCCGAGCCCAGGCCCGCAGGCCGAGAGGCTCGGCCTCGAGCTGTTCTGGGACGGCCCCAGGCCCACCGTCGGGCAGGTCCCCGCCGGCAGCGAGGCGCACGCGCAGGGCGTGCAGGAGGGTCCCCCGGCCCGCTCCCTCCCGCGCGCGGGGCCCCTGCCTCCGGGGAGGTCCGTGCGTCCCCCAGAACCAAACGTACCCTGGAGAAGGGGGCCTCGGGGACGTGCGTCGGGGCGTCCAGCGGCTGCTTTCTGGCGCCCACCGTGGCTGGAGCCGTGGCCGCTGCGACACCTCACTGGGGGCACGTCGTCCTGGGGGTACGTCCCCCCTGGCTCGACGAGAGAAACCCCAATCAGTGGATGGCTTGAAAATTTGGCAGGCACCATGCCTGGCCGCAGTTTCGTCGTGGGGCCCAAGGAGGCGCCCTAAATACGGATTCCTTGTAAGTTTAAGAGGGGTGTGGCATTCTCGCCTTTTCGGGCATCCGTCGGTTCGAAACAGCCCAAGGGGCCTCCAAGATGGATGACCTCAGAGGGCTCTTTGACGGCCCAATACGGCCTCAGGACGGCCCCGCGACTGCCCCAAGAGACCGAGCCGACGGCGAAGTGTGCCCCAAGACGACCCACTTGAGTCTCAAGACTGCATTACGTGAGCCTCCGTAGCCATTTTGGCTCAAGTTCGAAACGCGCGGCCTGGCGCTTCGAGCTTGGTCGCAGCAGAGGGCCTGGCTCGAGGGCTGCCGCCCTTCCAGGATCGCTTCTTTCGACCACAGGCACCAACATGTTCAGTTTCACGCACTTGCGAATGGCGCACGAGGCTGCTCCCGAGTGGGCGCGTTCGATCTTGGCGTCAGTCACGGGCATCGATGCAAAGCTCTCCTCGTTCCAGATCGAGATCACAGCTTCAGTCACGGAGATGCGCTCGGACTACAGCCAGCTGGCGGCGAGGATGGACATTCTTGAGGCCAGTATGGAACAATACCAGTCGAGCGAGGATGCGATGGCCGACATGTCCGCCGAGGCGGAGCGACAGGTCAGGATGCAGAAGCTCGAGTCCATGGTGCAGAAGATGGAGAGCCAGCTCAATGACGCGCCGGCCGATGGTGGTCCACCCCCTCGCCGTCGTCGCGCGCTCAGCCCCGCTTCGTCCCGATCGACTGGCCTTTCCTCTTCGGATGGTGCTATGGGATCATCTTCGCAGGAGGGAGCTGCGCGTCTGGTGCTGCTCGGGTTTCCACGTCCGCTCATGCAGGCCACCCTACGTCGCGCCGCGGAAGTTGTACGTCACCGCTGCATGCCCCTCCACTCACACAATCCGGTTGTGATCAAAGCGTTCGACCTCAATCGGAAGGCGATCTTCGAGTTCAATTCCGCATCAGCAGCTTCCGATTTTCTCAGCAACTTCCAGAAGATCGAGGGCGAGCTTCAGTTCCCTGATCCGAAGGGCGGATACTTCGTGCTCAAAGTTCGTAGAGACCTCAAGGTCAAGGATCGTCGGTTGTTTCTCGCGATGGGCAAGCTCAGACAGAAGTTGGAGGCACTGCTCAATGGCAGGTTCACGGTTGGCTCGAACGGACTCGGTGGCGACGTCTACATATTGCGCGGCGAGGAGGACCCCGTACAATGTTCCCGCGTTTCAGTACTCGAGGGTGCGAATGATGTCCATGTCGAGTTCACTGACTCCACGCTGACGGAGTTTGGCATCCTGGCGGACAAAAGGCAGCTTGATGGAAGCGGCACAAGTCGCAATGAGTCGTCCCTTTTAAGCATGCACGTAACTGCTTTGACAGAGCGACGCGGCGCTCGCGTCCTGCTGACTGTTGTTTCCCCTCTTCTCCCTCCTTCCCCTCTTCTTCTACTGACACTACGGATGATACGTCTGACAGCTCGGACACCGATGACATTACGGATATTACGGATATTCCCTGCTCTCCTCTGCGCCCCTTCTCGATGGTCACGTGGAATGCTGCCGCTCTTTTCGCTTCTGTCAGATATGGAGGGGAGGTTGCGAGGGCTCGCTATCGTAAATTCTTGCAGTTGTGTGAACGGTATGACATTGTATGTATTCAGGAAAGTCATGGGCATGAGGGGGATATCGTATGCCTGAGACAGCAGTTGCGTGGGTGCCACATTGGTGCGACGATGTGTGCGTCGACTGCTGCGGGAGGCGCGGTTACCGTAATTCGTGCCGCGCTTGCTTCTCAGTTCTCGTCCATTTGGCGCCGTCCTTTGAGTGAAGGTCGGGTGCTTCTTTCGCAATGTGTCGGTCCGCGTGGTGCGCTCTGTATCGTCAATGTTCACATGCCTAACACGTGTCACGGTCACCTGCAGTATCGGCGAGTGCTCCACACCGTGTGTCGTGCGTTGCCCTCGGCGACGGCTTGTTTCAACCTCATAGGTGGGGACTGGAATTTCGCTCTGGAGGAGGAAGGGAGGCAGTCTGATGATGGTGGGCATTGGGAGGCAGGGGACTGATGGCACACCGCATACTTTGGTACGAAGTGCGCACGTTGGACTGAGCTTTACCAGCCTGATCCGACTCGCTACGGGTGGGGCAACGACGGCAGCACTCATACGGCGCGTCTTGACCGCATATACACAGATCTTCCGCGTGCCCTCCTCGCCGACCTCACCTTGCAGGCAAAAGTGTGGAACCGACCGACGCGGTATGAACCGTCGGATCATCTCCCCGTTGCAGTCTCCTTTCAGGCCTTCAACCCCAAGGAGTCCTCGGTGGTACCTGTCTGGCTCAGCAAGACCCCAGTTTACAAGGATATCGTTTCGGGAGGCCTCCAACAGATCCCCACGGAGTGGAGCCCTCTTCGGCGGTTCGAGGCTGCGAAATCCGCAATGCGCGAAGCTGTTCGGGCGGCCAAGCGCGCGCTTGCACACAAACCTGCTCGCGCACCTGAGGGGCGCCATTTCTGGGCCGCGCGTGCGGTGCGAGGGTGGCGCACAGGGAACTCTGACCTGGTGCGAAGTGCGATTGGCGCGCTTCCGATACTGTTGCTGGTCTTTGATGTGGACCGTGAGGAGTGCACGGACTACGCCCGTCTTCGTGAATATGCCAGGTGGTGCCATTACATTGTGCTGGAGGCCCAGCTTAACCAGGCCGTAGCAACGACGACTGCGGGGGAGGAGGAGGAGGCTCGGCGGCAGCAGGCCATCTCGCGTGCCCGGTTTACGATGCAGGTCTGGCGCAAGCTGCGTCGCCGTGTGCACCTCTCGGGTGTTCTCGTTGATGACGGCTCCCCCCTGTGCTACGGTGGAGGAGTCTGGCAACGTCCTTGCTCGGTACTGGGAGGGGGTATTTGCAGCGAAGGGGGAGGACGTGTCGGGGTGGGAGGAGTTCCTTGAGCACTGCCAGTCTGTTCGGCCTTTGCGTGAGGTGATTCAGTGGGGATCGAGCGGCGTGGTTTTATCTGTGCCATTCGTGCGAAGCCTAACTCTGCCACTGGTCCTGATGGTATCCCTTACAGCTGTTGGCAGACTGACACTGCCGCCAACTTGCTCTTTGATGTGCATGAGTACTTGTGCGACACGAATAGCACAGACTTCCCTATAGACATGCAGCACGTTCTTCTCACCTTCCTCCCCAAGGGTCTTCAGGGCTCCAACGCGGGCACCACAGTCTTTCGTGACGCCAGCAAGACGCGGCCGTTGGCACTGGCCGACACTTCGTGCAAGGCGCTGTCTGCAGCGATGGGCTTGCCGCTTGCCTCGGTTGCGAAGTCGACAGTTCATGAGATGCAATCGGGTGGCGCTGGTGGGATGAGTATCACGTCTAACGTGGTGGAGGCGGAGGGATGGGGATTATTTCAGTGGCTTCATGGTAAGCCGCACTCGGCGCTCCTGCTTACCGGCTTCGCTGCTGCTTTCCCGCCCCTCTTTGTCAGCTGGATTCTCACTGTCCTCAGTGCCATGTCTGTTCCTACTCCCATCATATGTTTCTTTGCTGCCCTCTACGCTGACAATGCAGCCACAGTCACTCTGTCTGGGCGGCGCCTGCAGCGCATCAAGATAGAACGAGGAGTGCGGCAGGGGGACCCGACTAGCATGTGCCTCTTCGCGCTGGCCCTGGACCCGATTTTGCGCTGGCTGCTGCGTAAGGGTAGCACGCATATATTGACAGAGGGCTGGGGTACGCGGATGATCTTCTGTTTGGGGTCTGTGATATCCGTGCGGGGCTGGTTCCTATTCTCGAGCTCCTAGGGGCCCTGGATAATGCGATTGGTCTTCGGCTCAACTACTCTAAGTGCCAACTGGTTCTTACGGGTGGGCAGCCGTGTGAAGTGGTGTCTGACTGGCTTCAGGCTCTTGGGGCGCCTTTTGGGTTTCTTCAAGTTGGGCTACATGCCCGCTACCTGGGAGTGGAAATTGGTCCTGACGGGGGGGAGCATGTGTGGCGGGAGGCCCTCGACACATTCCAACAGCGTGCGCGTGCCTTACGGAATCTTGGGCTCGGTCTTGCGACGACCATCGTCACGTTTACGTCCACGTGCCTGTCGGTGCTTGGGTATCTCATGCAGTTCTATGCCCCGACGCGCGAGGTGCACCGTGTGCATGCTGCGTCTCTTCAGTTGCTCGCTGCTGCCCCGCGGTATTCCTTCTCTACACAGATGCTCTGTGGTCTCAAGGCGCTGGGACTGACTGCGGAGTTCCCAGCACTGGGACCTTACGCACGTGCGGTGCAGTTGCGCGCGGCAGTCACATGCCCCGCTTTTGCTCAGGTTCAGGCGCGGCTGGAGGCCGCCACCTCGATGGAACGGATACGGAATGGGATGGAGGATGGGGTATGCATTGCTAGGACACTGACTGGGTGGTGGAGGGACTCCTTTGTGCGCCAGATGTGCATTGTGTGCAACGGCTGTCAACAGATCACTGAAGCGGTCCCGCACGATTTCCCTAAGAAGAAGCTCCAGCGTCGCTTTCTGAATGCCCTCATCGCTCGGGACCCTGTGGACCTCGCCGATTTTCCTGAAATTGGGCTCCTCCGCAGGATCTCCTCCTGGCTCCCTGCCCCGTGCCCCATCGAGGTTGCCCACATGATCGGGAAAATCCGTTACACGACGAAACGTACGAAGATGTATATTGGGTTGGCACCGTTGCGGATCGCGTGCCGTGGTGTGTGTACGACATCGCGTTTCCATACGATCCCTCGGGGTTGCATCTTTGGGTGTGTGTCGGAGGTCCCTGGAGCGGATCTCGATGATATGCGACATTACATCGTTTGCCCGCGGTTCCTGGACATTGCAAGGCCCTGGCTGGGTGCGATTGTGGATTGTGCCGACACTATCCCGATCTCCTCTCTTCTCCTCCTTGCTGTGCACCCTTCTGTGGAGGCAGTGCTGTGCTGCGCGTCGTTCTGCGAAGCCTTTTTACATACGCACTCTCAGAAGAGGGTTGGCAGTGTAGTCGGCCCCGCTAGTCTTTTCGAGGCGCGGATACGCCTCCACTGCAGGCGCCGCCGCGCACTGCAGACCGCCTGGACAAAGCTCACTGTCGCAAGGCTCGCTCTGGGGCAATCAGCAGGCTAGCGGCAAAAAAAAAAAGACTGCTCTACGTGAGCCCAGGACAACCCTGAGACGGCCCGAATGAGCAACCAGAAGTGAGGTCGAGAGGTGCCAACTGTGACAGCGTGTTTCTTATGTTCCTTGTAGTCAATGATCAGTGTCATCAGCATCACCGTTCATCAACATCATGATCATAATCCGCATCTATCCCAATATCATTAACATGCTCATTATCATCATCCTCATTGTCATCATCGTCGGCATTGGGTCTTCATTATCATCGTCATCACCATACCAGTCAGCACCCAGGCGCCTCTGGTAATTAGCGGGGCGGTGGTATTTGCCGCAAGGCATCTGGATATTCGCACGATCGATCGATCACACTCCCGATCGATCGCAGGATCGATAATGCGATCGATAATGAGGTCGATGGAAAGGTCGGTGGGGAGATTGATAATAAGACCGATAGTGAGGTCGATTGAGTGAGATCCATCGTGAGATCGAGAGTGATAACGATAGTGAGATCGAAAGTAAGAACGATAGGGAGATCGATAGTGAGATCGGTTGGATGATATGGATAGTGAGATCGATCATGATATCGATAGAGATTTCGATCGTGGGTTCGATAAAGAGATCGATCAAGAGATCGACCAGGAGCTTGGGAACCTGGAAACTTGGGAACCCCGCCGCCCACCGAAGTCGGCCCAGAGCTAGCAACTGGGAGCCGGGGAACCAGGAACCGGGAACTTGGGAACACGGCCGCTCACCGAAATCGGCCTGAACTTTTCGCCACATCGTTCAACTTCCGCTAGGACCCCGTCAGTGTAAGCTTTGGTTGGGGAATGATCATGAATTGCTGGAGGTCCACGTAGATTCTTGGATCGTCGCTGGACCCGCCTCCTTAGCGCGCGGAGCGCGCAAGGGGCGGCGCCAGAGGCGCCGCCAGGAGGGCTCCAGCGCAGATGCAAGAACTCCGCGCGGACCTCCGACAGTTTATGTCTATGCAGGTGTTTGCTCCTCCACGGGCGGGGCCCCCAACGAAAAGGGACGCTTCCCTCCCTCTTTCCCGCGCCTCCTCCCTCTCTGCCTCTCTCCTCTAGGCCTCCCAGATGGTTTTTGAGAACATGGGGTCGGAGGATGGCGCCGCACGCCGATGCGTCGCCGATGCATCGCTCATTCATCGCCGGTGCATCCGCGGTGCGGCGCGATCCTCCAACCCCATCTACTGG